CCCCGCCGGTGGCGGGCGGCGCGCCGGGCGGCGCCTGTAGGACCTGCCGCGTCGCGGCCGCGACGGCGGCGGCGGCGCTGCCGCCGCCGAGGGCACCAAGGGCTGACATGAAGCGCCCCGCGCCTGCCGCGGCGCCGGCGCGCGCGGCGGCCAGGCCGCCCATCAGCCGCTCCTGCACCTGCTGCGCCACCGGCGGCGGCGCCTGAACGCGCTGGCGGTCGAGACCCAAAAACAGGCTGCTGCTCGCGACGCCGCCCGCTGGCCCACCGCCGCCCCCGCCGCCACTGCCGTGGCCTGTGCCGCCGCCGCTGCCGCTGCCGCCGCCCGCGCCCGGCCAGCCGGACGACCTGAAATAGTGGGAGTCGCTCAGGGCCGTCGCTGCACGCTGCACGGCGTTAGCAGCGGCCGGCGGCAGCGACCGCCACGGCGGCGCGGCTGCGGCGGCAGATTGGGGTGGTTGCTGGTGGTGGTGCGCTAATGATAGACTCAAGTCCACGAGCTCGCTCTCACGCAAGACGAGGCTCTGGGCCACCATGGCTACCGGCGGGCGCTGCTGCTGCTGCTGCTGCTGCTGCTGCTGCTGCTGCTGCTGCTGCTGCTGCTGCTGCTGCTGCTGCTGCTGCTGCTGCCGAGGCTGCTGCTGCACCGACCGCAAGAGCTCGCCATGCGTCCCCGCCTCGCTCACTCCCGACTGCACCAGCTGCCACGGCGCCGCCCACGCGTCGGCTTTGCCTGCCGCAGGCCGCGGCGGGGACAGAGGCGCGGGCAGCGGCGGCGCCGGCGCCGCCATGGCCGCTGCGTCTGGGGCGTCGGTTGCAGTTAAGGTGGACGGCGGCGTGGGCGTCAACTTGAGGACTCCGCGCTGCACCCGCGGGCTGGCGTCGTCCAAGCCCATATCGCCGCCGCCCAAAGCGATCGGCGCCGGCGGCGGCGGCACCATGTGCCATGCCTGGTCGGGCGGCGAGCTGGCCGCGGGGCCGCCCGGGCTTGAGAGTGCGGCTGCCATTGCTGCCACTGACGCCGGGCGGGCGGCGGATGCCGCAAGTTGCGGCGGGGGCGGCGGTCGCGGCTTCAGGGTATGCAAGACAGTGTCGCTACC